TTAGCTGGGCCATAACAAAAAAAAAAGAAACGGCGCGGCGCAGGCACGCCAAATTTTGGGTGCCTCTAGGGAATTGTTTGACATTTATTGTGACAAAATTTCAAAAAAAATCGGCCGGAAAATTTTTGAGATATCGAGGTTTCAGTGACGTCATGATTTCCAAACCAATTTTTATTCAAACGATAATGCCCTCCCAATTTATACATATCATGAAACAGCGTAAATCTCGCCCGGCAAGGCCCCATTTCATAACATGACCCAAGCAGCGGGTTTGGTTTTTGGTAAATAGCTTCGCAAAAAATGGCCGCAGAACCACGATTTTGACATCGTCGTGTTCACCTTGCTCAGGCGCGTCGAATGGTATACTTTTGTTTGGGTGAGGCCACCGTAAGGTCAACCTGGCCTTGACCTCGAGTCAAGGTCAGGTCAGAGGTCTTCAAATCACGAAGTTGGTCGAAGGAGGTCATATCGCATATCATTCGATTCGGCAGGTCTTCCGGAGTCTATTGGTGACCTTGTCGACTCTCTAGCTCAATTTGATTGGGAGTTATTGACGAAAAACTCGTATGACCCTAGTGACGTCATAAATGACGTCATGCAAGGTCAACAATGCAAAAATGCAGCATCAGATCTTGCAAGGAGTGCATGAAGTAACGATTTCATGTATTTGAGACAATTGAATATCATTCCTGGCGCCAAAATAACAGTTTTCATATTTCCCCATTGACTTATAGGTGAAGTCACGTGACCAACCTGACTTTATGTGACATTTAGGGAAAATCTGAGATATGCAAGTTGTAAGACCTCTGAAGGACAATAAGTCCTGCAAGTCTCACCTCCCTGTGAAAGTTACTCTGGCACTGAGAGCGTTGCAAGGTTGCGACATCTGAGGATCGTGCAGAGGTTCATTTATGACGTCATAGGTCAGTGACCTGACCTGACTTGAAAGTGCGGCTGGTGTCACAAGATCCAGCGTGCATCAAAGGTCAGGTATGCCAGGTTGCAGCTCTCTATTGCCTGGGTGTTTTGAGCTATCGCGAAAACACCCTTTGGGGCATTTACCACTTGTGCTCAAGTGCACCAAGCCACGGCCAACCCTTAGAAGAAAAAAGTGTCTGGATGCTAGGGCTGCAAGTTGCTACAAATTTTCACTGGCTCCCCTAATAGATAGTGTCTTAGTGCATGCGATACAGCATTATTTTCAGTTCATCCTCGTAAAACTTTTTTTGCTGGGCTTGGTTAATTCAGTGAACGTAATGTTCAGTGGTAGAAAAAAATATAAAAAGTTAACCTAATTATAAGACATTTTGAACTGATTTTGTCTACTTGCTTTCTATGGCGGAATCGTCTAAACACCTAAATTTCACTTTCCATGCGAAATGGATGCTCAACACCTAGCAATTTCATCGTTCCGCAAAATATTCAAAGAGCGTAAAAATCGGCTGTGATTATCCCCCTTATGAAGTGTTACGGAACGCTGTCTTTAACGATACTTTTGTCTACGAAAAAATGTTTCCTGAGCCATGCAAATGCACTAATCGTAATCTTTGATGAATTTTCTGTCGACTAGTATGCGTTGTTTTCCAATTTTCGGAAAAAATGTCTTTGAGGTTTCGCGAGGCTAGACCGGCCCGATCGCCTACCGTGGGTGGGTGGCGAAATACCCCAGCAACTGCCGGGTTAAGGACCTGCATCGGCTCTGAGGGCTCAACTTTGCCTTTTCTGGACTCTGGGGTCCAACACCAGCCCAAGCCTGTCTTTTAGGGTGCCACACTGACCCCTGAGGGTTCCATCCTTGCCTCAAGGACCCGCATTAGCCTTTGAGAGCCTAAGTCGGCCTCTGATGGCCTCAAACTGCCATTTTCAGGCCCTGTACTGGTCTCTGAGGGCCTTAAACTGGCCTCTGAGGGCACAAACCGACCTCTAAAGGTCCCACACCGGTTGCTGATGGCCCATTTTCTGCCTCTGAGATCCAAGACTGACCCTTTTGTGCCTCTGAGGGCCCCGTACTGGCTTCTGAAGGATCGATGCCGGTCTCTGAGGACCAATGTCAGTCTTGTAAGGGCCTCATACTGATATCTGAGGCCCACATTTGCCTCTGATGGCTCCAAATTGAGGCCCTATTTAGTCCCCAATCAGCCTATAAGGTCTCTGATGGCCCTATTTTGTTGTCTGGCTGGGGACCCCTGGCTTACACCTTTAGGCGTCACGCACTGGCCTCTGAGAGCCCACATCGGCCTCTGGGGTTCCATACGGGCCTTTGAGGCCGCTATGGCCATGGGCCCCTGTAAGCTAGCACCGCCCCCCCCCCCCCCTCCGAGTGTTGGCAAAGTTGCCAAGTTGCCCCCACCCCCAAACGCCAAGTCTGCTACCGCCCCTGCATTCAGATGCATCCATTGTAAAAAAATAACTTGCACTGCAGTGATTGGGGGCTGGGGCACTGGCTGCTAGCAAGTTTTTTTCCCCCGGGAAACCGAAGTGGTAGTTCCTACCGGACGTCTGGCCGGACCTTTATTTTTGCATTTGCTTCTGGGTGGGCAAATTGAAGCCACTGGGTGGGCAATTGTGGTGACTGGGTAGGCATTTGCCCACCCAGTGGCACGGTTCGTCGGAAGGTCATCTCAGGCTCAAAAGAAACGATATATACCATTCGAAAGCTGACGGTGAGCTGAATCCAAAAATGTAATTTTTATCAAAATCGATCGATGGCCTTTTTTAAAAATTGCGATTATGTAAAAACTTAATAATCTTTTATTCAACGGGCTGTCCCGGGCATTCTTGAAAAGATAAACATGTATTTTTGGGTTCCAGTGAAAGCTGAACGCCAAAAGAACAATATTTAGCGAAACAATATTTCCAAACATTAATATGCGTCTCACACAGCCGATAATAAGGCGCAATCACCAGTTCAGTGTCACGATGGACCAAAGTCAGCCACAAAGAAGCGCGAAATGACCCTTATCGACTCGCAGACCGGGCGCTCTCGGCCCGCCTGACCGGCCACGGAAAGAACGTTCGGCTCCCGTTCTACTAAACAAATGTCATATTTGTCAGTTTAACTGTCCACATCGCTATTAAAGTTATTCAGGATACCTGTGAAGAAAATTCATTGTTCTGTCATCTTCACATCATGCATTAATTTGCATTTGTTCATGTCTGCTTTGCTCAGTTGAGCTTGGTATCATGCCCATATAAGGAAAATTGGCCGCGCTGAAATGTCAGAGGCTGCACCGGCCTCAGCTCGGGTGGAGTGGGGGTAGCGCCCGGCGGGGCAGGGTAACCTTTGACCGGTCGCACGGCCGAGCAGCTGTCACCAGTACAGCCTCTGACAGCGAAACCCGCTCACTTCCCCTGCGCGGGCACTAATCGCAGCTGGATGGAACAAAACATTTATAAGAAAAATGTAAATTAAAGCATGTTGTAAACCAAGCAGAACAATGAATTTTCTTCACAGGTATCCTGAATAACTTTAATAGCGATGTGGACAGTTAAAGTCGCAAATATGACATTTGTTTAGTAGAACGAGAGCCCAACGTTCTTTCCGTGACCGGTCAGGCGGGCCGAGAGCGCCGGGTCTGCGAGTCGATAAGGGTCATTTCACGCTTCTTTGTGGCTGACTTTGGTCCATCGTGACACTGAGCTGTGTGATTGCGCCTTATTGTCGGCTGTGGGAGACGCATATTAATGTTTGGAAATATTGCTTCGCTAAATATTGTTCTTTTGGCGTTCAGCTTTCACTGGAACTCAAAAATACATGTTTATGTTTTCAAGAATGTCCGGGACAGCCCGTTGAATAAAAGATTATTAAGTTTTTACAAAACCGCAATTTTCAAAAAAGGCCATCGATCGATTTTGATAAAAAATACATATTTGGATTCAGCTCACCGTCAGCTTTCGAATGGTATATACCGTTTCTTTTGAGCCTGAGATGACCTTCCGACGAACCGTGTGGGTATGTTAGAGGAGGCCCTGAGTAAGCTCCGGTCCCGGTGTGACCGTTGTCCGATAGTAAGGCCCAATGGCCTGTCTGTCTCGAGTCGCGATACAGAGAAAGCCGCTGCGGCGCACCAACCGGTTGCTTTATCAGTTGGATGTCTTCCCAACTCGAAACTCTTCGCATCTCATCTCATTGCCCAGAAGATCGAACGAGCCAACTCCCGCAAACCAAAAGGCTCCTGGTCCCTTAACGCTTGGAGCGAGGCATGTGGCGACACCTATAATGGAAGAGTGCTCCTTCCAGCGAGGGAGAGTTCAACATACAGCGACATCTGCGTCGATTGGCTGTTACTCCACAACTACATACATAGGTCTCCGGAATCATGCATCAGGCTGCCCCGCGCCCTAGCTTCGGACAGAGCATAACTGATAACACAGCATGTCCTATGTCGCATTTGACGGCACAGTCGTGGCATTATGTTCACGTTATGAGCTGCGAACCATAAACATAAAAAATGAGTATAGAAGAAAAGAAGCAAACACGATGCAGACACTATTGCGTCGTCACCTCTTGTTGGTCTGATATCGAATCGATCACAATCACCTGCATGTAGGTGAGCATTAGCATAGATTGAAGAGTATGAGCCTGTTTTAAACTCACGACAAGCTCGGCACATTTCGCACATCTCCAAGTCGCTCCGCATCAAGTTTGTTTAACAACCTCGGAACCCTACTAAGATGTAAATATTGCAAACATATCTCCCCACAAGTTCTTCCCCTGCTCGCCATCTTCGTCCATTGCCCCCATCTTCCACCCCTGCCGCTCCCGCTACTTATTCATGCATGCTTTTACGACCTCCTAGACCGTTCTAGCCACTCCCTGAGGCCAAACACGTGCCAGAACCATGAGTGTTCCCGGCTCGGCTGTGGTGAGATGCTATCTTACATGGTTCGTGTCGCTCCTGCAGCTTACATTGCAACGGTGCACGGTACAGACTCAGGTGGGGGAGGAGGAGGCAGGGTCACCGCACTTTGGAGCGATGCGTCAGAAAGCATGACAAACATGAAACAAACGAAGACAGTGTCATTAATCTAAGTTTTCCTCAAAAGTTATGACTATGTAAACTAGAAAGAGACATGTTTGATACGGAGCACATTTTTAATATGCGAGTTCATTGTTTACCTCCTAAAAATTCGAAAGAGAAGGCAGCGAGAAGAAAATTATAACGGTAACATCAGTCGAATCAAATAAACGAATCGTTTGTGTGCAATAAAACGCGCCCCAGAAAAGAGAAACCAAGAGCGCAAAACAAGACAGAGACGATGTATTTTACACCCTGGCCAGGCCAGTGACGGCAAGTAGGAGCCGCTATTGCCCTAAAGTAGGTGCATACAGCAGACATTATTACTGCCTAATGTCTATTTACAGACACAACACACTTAAGTCCACACTGAATCACATAAACAGCTCTGAAAGGGCGGTACTCGGTCGGTATTCATTGAAACAGAAAAGGATCATCTCAGGACTAATTCTGGTGCGGGCCTAGGTGGTGTAGGTAGCACGCTCACGGGTTATAGGTGACAAGCTGGCAACGGCTCCACACGTGAGGACACTCACTCCACCGAAATTCAATGCATACAAGGACACTTCACATACACCACAATCTCAACACTTAATGTAGCTATGCTTTCCATCGATGTTTTCTAAATGAACTTTCGGATAGCTCTAAGTGTGTTTGCTTCGATGTTTTCTACATATTGCAGGCAAGCAAGCGTCCACACAAAACCAAAGGATGAGGGAGATCGGTTATAGCCACCATCCCACTGTGTTGCATTCTGTTGCAATTATGCGACGGAGCAATTATCAATTACAAAGATAAAATAGACGTCATAAGATGTTTGTATGTGAAGCCACCAAATAAAAAACTTACAAAATCGTAGAAGCTCAACATATATGGCACGATTTTGAATGAAATGACGCAATAAAGTTGTGAGGACAAAAAGCATAACCACAAAAGACATCCGGCACCAGCTCAAAGCCAAGACTTTTGGCTGACGTCTAGGAGCTGTTTTACATAAATTACAGCCCCAATGACTTATGTTACACAGTACACATCAAAACACTATATGACATACACAAGTTGCACTACAGATGCACAAGATGCACAACCTAATGCTGCACTTCAAAGGTTTAGAGAGACATCCTTGCACCAGGATAATAGAAAATGATTGTCAAGACATTACGTGCGCTGAGTTCGAACTTTCGTCACATACTGACATGTAACGAAATGCGATTTCTAGCGAGCACAGTGAATAGAACACCTACTCCTGCCAAGGAGAAAAAAGCCAGACATAATCGCATCTAAGCGACATCAAATAATGAATGACGGTTTTATACTTTACACCTTCAGCACTACAAATAATCGATCTAATATCTACAAATGTAACAACCGCATGCCAACGATTCACTCGAGCGACCCTATCCCTCCATTTTCTACACTAAACCAAACACGATCCAGCGTCCGAGTGTCTAGTTTGACCTCACAACTCTTCAACAGTGATCTCACTCAAATTGTCCGCCAGTGGAGACTGTATAACGCCCATATCATCCTCACTGGATTCGCTCTGCATCATCCTCGCTCCCGCCTCTAGCATCGCCCTCTCTTCCTCTTTCCTCGGCCTTCCGCGACTTCTGATCTGTTCCCTCGGCGGCAGAAGCGCCAGATCCTCCACCAGGGTCTGTGACATGCGCTTCCTACCAGTGCGCACGATACTGACGGGAGCTGGGAGAACCAACACGTCGGCTACGTGCTTTGGAGGGCGCCCGCCCGGGTGAGGGGCTAGACCGGCCTTCCAGAGAGCTTTTTGAGGGTTGTCGGCTCCTTCTTCTCGCCTTTTCCGCTTTCGGAACTTCTGTGTGCCTTTTGCGTTCACCCTTTTTACTGCCCCTGTTTCTGTTACCACAATATGCTCCTGTTCATCATTTCCGCTCTGGTATTCAACATTTGCCTCTTCAACACCCTGTCTACCATCCTCTCCAGCATCATCGGCATACACTGCCGGCTCCACTTTGGCCTTCTTCGCCACAACCACCGGATTATCCAACTCCTCCACACACTCAGCTTGTTTTCTAGGACGACCACTACCCCTCGGCACCGTCCCAGCCGGGGTCAGCTTCAGTGGCTCCTCTCCATGCTGATTGAACGCGTGCTGGTTCAGACCGCTACGATCCACGAACGCTGCACCGCAGTGACGACATGTGTACGGTTTGTCCCCCGTGTGCGCGCGCTCGTGGCGATCCACGTGGTTTTTCTGGACGAAGGTACGTTGGCAGAAACGGCATGCGTACGGACGCTCACCTGGGGAACGATATTTGGGTACTCAACGCTAAGTAAAATAGATGACTCAAGAATGCACGCAGGTATACGTTATGCTTATGTCTGTATGCAGCTGTACACATGTTTATTTAGACCAAGCTTTACTTCCTTCTTTGTTTTTTTTTTTTTTACATGCAGTTGGCAGGCAATATTTATAGATGAGCCGACTTCTGATAAGACGCAAGAATACAACCGAAAGCTTCACACTCATCGATGTGTAGATGGCGCCACACGGCACACGAGATATACAAAATCAATGCCGGAGAAAATTGCCTATTACTGTTAACTGAATAGCCACCAATAAAGTAAAAATGTGAGCATATCAATTTTTGCCACCCATTATATGGTGATTGCCAATCTAAAAGTTTTATTATTGTTTACTGTGCAACCACTCATGCCTAGTTGTAATGTGACGATTATTTCATAAATATGCAAGATATTACAACAAAAATTACCCGACGATTCGTTTATTATAACGTTTATTATAACATTACCCTTGAAAAAGTTATAATAAACGAAACGTCGGGTAATTTTTGTTGTAATATCTTGCATATTTATGAAACACTCATGCCTAAATTAGTGCGATTACTTGTTGGCTTTTTGGGACGCAATGACAGCAGCGGGTTCAGCATGCGTCTATCTGGTAACTCAGAGAACTCCCATCTCCATCCTTAACTATCCCCTAATAGACACAAGGACTTTGCGGTCTCCCATCATGAATCGGATGATCTCTACCGACCGATCTCTACCCACCAAATATCTCTACGACATGCAGCACATTAATTTACGTGCGGTGTGCACACTGCAGCATTTTTGGTTACATCTCGTCAGTGATCTCCGCTTTCAGAGCAGCCCTCCCCTGGCCACCCACTACTCTAAAGTCGCTCGTGCTCGTGGTATGATGTCAGACCACTCTAACACCCTACCCTTCCCTCTTCAAGGGACACCCAATGAGCGTGCCATTTACCGAACTATTACAACTCTACCGAATAAGGCAGCCTCACCCTATCAAAGCAGTCCTCATCCCCTGAACCTACCAATGTGAAGCCGCTCGTGCTGCATTAATCCGCTCAACATTTAAACCTTCCCTCTTCTAAAGACCTAATGAGTGTACCACCTCCCGAACTATAACAGGCATCTCATCCCATTCAAGCAGCCCTTCCCTCTACCTACCGGGATAAAGTCCCTTCAGTTACCTACATCTCACGGCTCCCCACCCATCAAAGCAGCCTCCCCAGTCAATCTATCAGTGTGAAGTCCGGGTCCCTCGAGTTACATTGATGGTTCCAAGCCATCAGAGCAGCGCTTCACCATCCACCTACCAGTATGAAGCCGTTCGTGCTGCATCAAACCGCTCTGCTGCTTGAAGGCCTTGTCGCAGTAGCTGCACTGGTACGGTCGCTCGCCCGTGTGGCGACGAATGTGCTGCCGTAGCGAGTTGGTGTCTGGGGAATAAGAGCAGTGGCGTTATTATAAACGAGTTTCCAGATGGGGAGGAGCACCTGGCGTGAGACGTAATAAATGTCAAAATTAACGAAACGCCATAGCCGATAACGTAATAAACGTTATGAAATATGCAAGCACACATCAATCACACATAAGAATATGACAAGGAGACATTTCCACTAGCTACGACAGTTTTCACTCAATAGAGGAATGCAGGCAAGGAGGCAAAAATAAACACCCACAGATAATTTGCATTCATGATCATCACAACTAGCATTTCATTCATCATTTCATTCATTCACCTGCTTTATAATATTTTACATTTATTGGAAGCTTCAACTGAGACTTTTTGCTGCCCTTTGTTTTGCGGGCCTATGCTTTAGTTATGTAGTGTTATCACATTGCCAATCATGTTATCAAGTTCTCAAGAGCTTAACAACAACAAAAGCAATTTTTCAATCACCCACCCACCTTTAAACTTCATGTCGCAGTAGTTGCAGCTGTGCTTCCTCTCCAAACTGTGCACCCTCATATGAACTACCACCGCACCCTTCAGCTTGAACGTCTTCCCGCAGATGCGACAGCTGTAACTGTGGAGCTCCTCCACTAGCGGTACAGGAGGCGGAGGCGGGCCCGCGACTCGAGCCACCGGAGATCGGTTCGGGCTGTCCGGGAGGGCTGAGGAATTGGCAGGTTTGGACCCCTTGGTTGATTTGGGTTTGGTAGGTTTGGATGGTCCGGCAGATGTGGAGGAACATGGGACAGCGGTGGGGGTGGGGGCTTCCACCTGCGGTGTGGCTGATGGGGCAGAAGCCTCACAAGTGCACTTGCATTTGCACTGTTTAGCTGGCTGCTGCTGAGGCTGCTGCTGTGGGTTATGAAGAGGATGCAGATAGCCCACTTGCATGGATGGAGCAGAAGGAGAGGTCTGCTCCACAACTGTATAAGTCATCTGCACACAGGATGCTGTTGACTGCGGGTGGTGCGGATAAGCCATTGGAACAGAGTGCTGCTGCTGCTGCTGGATTGCCTCGTACGGCTGCTGTACAGGCTCCGTCGGGTAGTAGGCCGATGGATCGGCAGGAATATCTGGGTGGTGGAGCACCAGCTCTGTGATTTCCTGGTGAGAAGGGTCCATGGCGTTGGCGGTATGCCTTGGAGTCTCTCTGGCACCACTGGTCAATCCTTGACTGATGATCGATGAAGACACAGCTTGCACCTGCAACAGTGCGCAGGACAAATTAAAAGCTGCAGTCAGAACTTGTAGTTCAAATGCAGCATGCCAGCCATCAACAGCAGAGTTCAATAGCTATATCTACCTATGCATTTTGAAGTAGGTTACTCTAATTTAAATATCACACAAATAGGTGAGATAGGTATTTAGTAGGGTTCAAACTTCAACTGACACCACTAAGACACTCAAAAGATGCTTGATGATTTGGTTTGGAAGAATTTTAAGTCTTTAATTATGAGCTTATTGCCAGCCGTATGGCAGTAAAACGGTCAATACTTATTACGCCATATTTTGTACGCAAAACGAGTGCATTTTTCAAATATGTGAGCTAATTTAAATCTTTGATACCTCCAGTCTACCTGTCAAACAAAGTCGTTGGAAAATAATGGGTGCTCGGAACAAGAACACACTACCCACACCAGTGGAGTGTTAAATTTCAGAAAGCTTAAGTGTGATAAAATTTATCCTCTAAAGGAGTGTATTAAACATCAGAGAAAGTAGCAGTATTCATCCAAGAAACGTGATTAATGGGAAATATGCTACCTGTACTGATCAAGGTAAGTCGATTAGCTCTGCCTCTTAGACAGTGGATGACACTGATGTCTGAAATGATCACATTTAGTGTAAAAAAGAAACAGCTATTCGAAAAAGGAGTTTAAGAAATTCATGGACTTCTTCCTGACAATAATTGTAAGTATCGGTAAGGAGTCACGATTATAAGAGCCTCTTATTATTATTTATAAATGCAATAATACACAACATGCAGAATCTGCCGAAAGCTGCAAGATGCGCCGTTTCTGCCGCAAAGCAATTGCTCACATTTACTAAAAAAATGCACTCGTTCTAATATTATGACGTCATAAGTATTGAACGTTTCCCCGCAAGGTAGCTGGCAAATAGCGCAATTAGCTCATAAATTAAGACATTAAGGCATCACTTTAGACAATTGTTCATTTCCATCACCAATGCTCAAGTTTTCAACACAAATATATATTCATTTCAGGCTAAAAATACTGCTGGGTTTTTGTGACGTCTTCAACGATGGCAAGTGGTCAGGAGTCTTCAAAAGAATATAGATGTTTGTTTTCGCTATCCTTGACATCCTTGTCTCTAGGGTTGCTTGCTCTAAGGCAAGGCCAAGGCCATCTATAGAAGGTACAGTCACTCCCCCGTCGACCAATCAGAGACAGATCCTGAGTGACGTCACCCCTGATGCTCGCAAGTGGTACTCCATTCCTTTGCAACGTAAAAATGACTAACTTCATTTGAAGATTTTTGATGGCACTCTGCACATACCACTCAGCCGTTGATGTCAATGGAAAGCCCAACTAATTTTCCAGCGACAAAAAAGAGCAGCAATATGCTAAGAAATGGCCGGTTTTGAAGATATAGACGATTTAAAAACCCTCTGCAGCAGCAGGAAAGCAACGTAAAAACGCATCGAGCTTATATTTTTACTATGGATAAATCATTTTTCAGTAAGTTTTTAGATATGGTATAGATTTAAGCTACAAGTTTATTACAATATTTTCATAACTTGAAACTTTATTTCAAAATAATATTTTCAAAAATGGCAGCTGTTGGTAAGTAGCTTGGGAGCGATTGTGGCGCAGCGCGCCATTAATTGTCCTGAGGCCCCCTTATGATGTCATCAAAAGTGGAGTGACATGGGCCTGGGCAAGGCATGAAGCTAAGAAGTGTTTGGGAAGATCAAGATAGGTACTCAGTCTAGAAAATAGAAGTTACATCAGAGTCCAGAGTTATCATAAAGTACGAAATATATAGAGGAGCCTTCTTCTGTTTGAACGGGTCAGGGTGTTTGATGCAGGGATATATTTGCTTGCAGTGTTCACTGTTCCTGTTGGGGTTGGCTTAGTACCAAGGTGTATTCAAATTAACAATATTATCCAAATAGAGACTAATTTCCTGTATTATTCATGCCAATACTGATACAGTAATGGAATGACCTATCCTTTATCTTTCACAGCAGTTATGGGATATGTTGTTGAAGATGCTAGGGCCTAGGGGTAAGGGGACAGACGTGTAATATAATATGTTCAAGGGTGATCGTGGTTGTAGTTTGGCGGCAAGGCAGGGCATTACATTTTGTGTATTAAGAATTTCAGGATATAGGTATACATTGAGTTATGTATGTTTTCATATGTAATGTAGGTAGATATTATGGTATTGAGACCTGCATGCATGTTGATTTATAGTTAAGGTTTTAATGATTTATCTAAGATGAACTCTAACTCATTGTCAATTTTCTTGCAGGTTCCACTAAAGCTGTGATGCCAAACCCATCTCAGCTCATGGGAGCTTCATCCCTGAGCCTAGCCAAGAAGAAAAGATCAAAAGCTGTAAAAGCCAAAGCTCTGAAAAGCCATGAACTGGACTCTAGCCCCAAAGCAAAGTGAGTGAATGAAAGTGACTCATACTAAAATAACTTGGCATCAATCACACTGAAAGAGCATCATGCTTTGAACATGTCAAAGCATGTATAAGCATGTATGTCAAAGCGTGATACGAACGATCATGTATATGAGTGTAAGGAAATAGCTCTTTACAGTGTTCAGCTACAACAGCTTTAAGCAAGTAGTTCCAAAAATCTTTTTGTATGCCCATTATGCTTTTTGAACTGCTTTCTTCCACCAGCTTAGAGTCTAAGCTGAGACCCATGATTTTCAATCTGCCCTTCTGATAATCGCAGTTATTCAGTTGCTTTGGGCAAACAACTAGTTTTTCTTTAATTGATGTGATTCCCCCACAAGTGTCCTGTTTCAAATTCCATGATTTGTTACAGAGGAAAGTTAAATTGGTGATTCAACATCATTGTCTTATGAATGTTTTATTTTTCCAGGTACCGGCGGCTACGGAAGATGGTGCGTGCTCTCGTCTACGAAAACGGCGCACTTTGTGACGAGACGGCTCGCGCACAGCGTCTGGTACTTCAGGCCCAGGAGGAGCGCCGATTTCTGCTGCAGAAACTGATTCAGTTTGAGCAGCAGTGTGCGACACCAGCGCCCCAAGCGGCCGCCGCCGGAACTGGGGCTCGGTCAGCCACTCACACTAATGCGTCCATTGCTAGCGCGGCTAACACAGCAGCGGCAGTAGGCAGAATGGCATCAACACCCGTAGCCAATGCAGTACTTCTGCCAGTACCAGCAGTCTCTCTTGCTGGGATCCCCACCGCGCGATCAGTGGCGCCTCTGGTGGCGACGCCTGGAACCAGCACTTCTCATATCACACCCCTGGTGGCGCCAGCGTCGGTTGGGCGGTCTGCCGCGCCTCTGATGGCCAGTGTGGGTACCGTCCGCCCCCACACCACACCAGTTGCGGTGGCGGTGGCCAGAGGGTCTGCAGGGCGGACGCCGACTCCTCTACCTGTCGTATCAGCTACGGTTGATGGCCTACCAACACCTCTAGTTGTAAGCGCGGGGACTTCAAGAGCTGCAATTCAACCATCGGGGACCTCGCTACAGCAGTCGTCTTCCCAGACCGTGGGAGCTCTCCCCTCTCACTCTACCTCCCCTCAGTGGAGACCCGCTCCCGCTCTACCCAGCCCCCGCACCTCTACTCCCTCCGTCTCTCGTCGTGTCGCTCGAGGTCCACGCCGTCTCGTATCTGCTCTGCCCCGAGACGCGTCTGGTGTAGTGGTGTTGCCTTTGCGTCTGGGAGGCCTCACTCTACAGAGCTTGGGCCGTGTGTTACCAGATCGACCAGCCTACCACTCAACCACCGCCCTCTACCCTGTCGGATTCGTGTCTCTACGACGTTTTATCAGTGTGACTACGCCCCGCCGAACTGGGGTATACCGATGTGCCATCGAAGACGGCGGCGCGCACCCCCGCTTTTCCATCACGTCCATCACTCAGACGTCTGAAGGAAATGACAGCGCTGACCCATCACCAGAGTCTTCCACAGTCTCTTCAGCACCTTCTTCCTCTTCCCAACCCGTGACATTCCTTGGAAAAAGCGCAGACGAGTGTCACCGCCAACTTCTTCAGCGTCTATCTGGGGCACTTGGACGTCCCCTGCCGGCCTCATGCCGCGTGGTCGGAGAAGCGTTCTTCGGTCTGACCCACCCTTCCGTACAGCAGCTGCTACAGGCTTCAGCAGGGGCGGCCCAGTGCGGGAGGTATAGGAGTGTGGCGTTTGAGGTGACTGAAGCGACTGTGGCGGTGCCTGGGGAGACTGAGCCGAGTGTAAACGGGTCGGCGCTGTGGGCTAGGCTGGTGGAGGGGGCCCAGTGAGGATAGAGCGCGGTCACTGAGCATAGAGGGGTCACTGGTCAGTGAGTATAGAGGGGTCCAATGAAAGACAGAGGGGCCCGATGAAGGCCCAATGCCGGATAGAGGGCCCCAATGGAGGATAGAGGGGCCCAATGAACGCAGTAGGTTAGCGGCCCAGTTGAGGGACCGTGCTGTGAGCCTGGCTAGTAGAGTTGGCCAGTGAATATATGTATGTATGTTTGTATGTATGTATGTATCTATGAATGTATGTATATATAGACATCACAAGACTTCCACATACAGCGTGGCGATTACGGCATATGGGGGCCCCCAGTGACCACAGAGGGCCCGCACTGTGAGCCCACCGAGGGCAGACCTGGGACTGAGCTATGGGTCTTGCTGAGAGTGGGTCCAGTGAGGAAGGAGGTCATAGAGGCCGATGCGGTGGGGTCCAGCGACAAAGTGACCACGCTCCGGGCTCAGAGTTTAGGACTGAGCTGTGGATTCAGCCGGCAAAGGTCCACTGGGGTCAGAGGGGAATGAAGTGCCTCCGGTCGGTAAACTGAGGGGCGGGAGGGCGTGGAACGTTTTCAGGGAACGATATTGACTTATGTGTAAGCCTGTCGACTGTGTTTTGATCTCATTGTAAAATAGAGTGTGAACTTTCATTTGTTGATACGCTTGCTGACGTGGAGAAAGCTTCGCCCAAGGAATATGTCGAACAAATACAGCTTTTATTGAGAATAATGAGCGATGAGCGACAGATAGCCAACAAGTCTTCACACTTCGATCGCAATGGTCGGGCCGGATGTAAATTTGTAGTGTACCTAGGCATATAATATCAACTGGTATTTTTTTCAAACCTCACATCTATAGCTTTTTCCGTGAATTTCCGGGAAGCACGAAGATCACCCTTAAAAAATGTCCAATCGTCCGATCCTGAAATCCTGATCAAATGTGTGCGTTTGTAAGCTTGTTCTGGCATTGCTGGATCTGTCAAGGCAGACCAACTGGCAACTTGCATAGGCGGCGGAACGGGGAGGGCACCGGGGCACCGTGCCCCCTTTGATTTTGACATTTTAACATTAGCCCTATGGGCGTTGCATGGAAAGAATGGGACCAAAAGTCGGCAGTGCCCCCCCCCCCTTAATTGAAGGTGTTCCGCCGCTACTGCCAACTTGAGAACATCCCAGTCACTGGCGGATCCAGGGGGGGGGGCAAAATGGGCATTTGCCCCCCCCCAAACGGCATAATTTTAACATTACGCCTATGGACGATGCATGGAAAGAATCGATAAATTGTTATGGTTTGCCCCCCCCAAAAAAAACTCTGGAGCTGGATCCGCCTCTGATCCCAGTGACTACTTTTTTTAAGTTTCTATCCAATTGGTCGGAAATTCACCGGACGATGGAAGTGGGGTTTGGAAAAAACGCATCGATTTAGTAATCACAGACTGATTACCGATGGCGCTCAGGTTTAGGTACAGAATTCGGTAGGTATGCCTTATGATGGTCTAGATATCATCATGGCCTCCTGACAATTCAGTCACCCGACGGCCGACTCTGAGTGCACTATCATCACTGGCGGATCCAGGGGGGGGGGGGCACCGGGGCCATGGCCCCCCCAAAAGCCTGAAAGGGGGGGCCAACATATCTTTTGGCCCCCCCCCCCAAAACGCTTGGAGAAAAATTAATGTGAGAAGGTTGCGTAGTAGAAACCTACTAGAATCAGCAGCGTGATTCAATAGCGTAGAGAAAGTCAGGGGCGCGGGAACTACTTTCAGACTGGGGGAGCACACCATAATAGAGATCAACCTAGGGTCCCCCCAAATCTAGTTTTCTCACCGGTTTTAGGCCACTTATTTTTCATCCCTTGGCTTTTTCAACAAAAAAAAGAAACAGTTGCAAAAAAGGACGGTACCTATTCCGTTTGAAAGTTGTGGGGGCACCGCCCCCACTGGCGGATTCAAGGGGGCCACCGGGGCCACGGGCCCAAAAAGCCTGAAAGAGGGGGCCAACATATCTTTTGGCCCCCCAAAACGCTCGAAGAAAAATTAATGTGAGAAGGTTGTGTAGTAGATACTTACTAGAATCAGCAGCGTGATTCAATAGCGTAGAGAAACCCAGGGGCACGGGAACTACTTTTAGACGGGGGGGGGGGGGAGGTCACACCATGATAGAGATCAACCTAGGAGTAGGATCCTCCAAATATAGTTTTCTCGCCGGTTTTAGGCCACTTATTTTTCATCCCTTGGCTTTTTCAACAAAAAAAGAAAACATTTGCAAAAAGGAGCGGTATTCTGTCTGAAAGTTGTGGGGGCACCGCCCGCACGGCCCCAGAGTTGGGGGGGGGGGGGGCAAGCTGCCACCACTGCCCCCCTCCCCCCGGTTCCCGCGCCTATGGAGAAACTACCGGGTTTACTAGCTTCCTTCATAAAGTGTCGTCATGTCTTATCGTCACCCGAGAAGGTCTTATTGCATAAATATCGATTGAGCTGTCAAGTTAACAAACTTGCTGTGGCAGCCTGACCTGACATGACCCGGCAACTTTTCATTCACGGAATATGCGCAATAAATTTTTTAGGAAAACTCACTGAGTTTTCGTTGAAAAAAAAACTTGTTTTGTTTCGTATAATTGTACAAGAAGCATATGAGGGACCTTTTTGTCCCTTCCTGCGAAACGGTAAAAGACTTATTTCGGTCACAGCTCAGGCCAATCTCTAAGGGTCAGTCGGGTCACTTATTTCTTATAAGGGTCCTTACGGCATCCAAGGACCAATTCCGGCTTTTGAGTGCGCCACATCAGCATTTGATGCTACGACAGATGTCGAAATCTGAATATATGTTACAGGCCGTATGAAAATTCGGTCCGTTTGCAAACGGCCTGGCCCAGTCAGGCCATATGAAACTACCTGAAAACACCGGCCGTTTGCAAACTATGACCTGAAATATCAGACCGTTTGAAAACGACCTAGTTAGTTTCGGCCTAGCGAATCCAGGGGGGCCACGGGGTCATGCCCCCAAGCCTGAAAGGGGAACAACATATATTTTTTGTCCCCAAAAACACTTAAGAAAAATGAATGTGAGAAGGGCGTAGTAGGTAGAGAGAAAATACCGTATCATTAAAAATCTGTGAGCTTGATAAAAGTGTTGGTCTTGTCTTCACCCAAGAAGTTCTTATTGCACACTTTAACCATGGATGAAAGAACCTTCATCCCCTGGTTCTCCTTCATCCATGCTTTAACTCTCGATCGACGTGTGAAGTTATCGTGTAAGGTATCATGAAGCCGATCGCGACGAAACTTTAGTACCCTCATGGTGACAAAGTCTGAAAATTTCATGACCCTGACCCAAGTGAACTTTGACTTGTGGCCTATTTCTCGAGACTGTTTGGCCATGTTGGAGGCCATGTTTATAGCGATTCGGCGTATGTCGGCTCACATTATCCGCGCTTTTATAGTCTTTTCGTGGTTTAAAACGCTCAAACATGTGATATGATGTTGCTCCCACGCATTAGGGCGGATGCCAATGTCACCTTACGGTCAAGTCAGGTCATTGACCTTTGATGACCTCGGTGCACTTTTCCGAGTTTAACATGTTTCTAGGATAGTTTCGTTTAGCTGATTTTGAATTTAGCATTTTGCAGCCATTTGAACATTTACGAAGTAGTTTTGATGCCTTCGTATCATGTTACGTAGCTGCCAGTGGTAGTGGACACCTGCTATACGGACGCCCATAAGTACCCCTACTGGTTGACCTGACGTGACCTGCCCCGACATGACCTAAACGCATGAAGACATCATCTATGATCCAAACTAACATGAAATTTGTGATCAGCACAAAAAAAAAACGTATTACAGCCTTACTTTAGGAGGTTCTGACAGGTCCTGATTTTCCCGTCTTTTGGGTCTGTGACCTGACCTGGGCGGTGTTTCACGGCACGCTGCCAGCCGCTGCCAGCGCTGATGGCACTTTTGGTTTCAATGGAGACATCAACAAGCCTATACCCACAACACTACCGAAGGCTGACCTTAGCTCGCGGAATGCGCCCGTGAGTGACGAGACGAAGCCGATGATACCCGATTTTAAGGTCCTTGGTCATTGGTTGACCTTCCAGGGCGGTGTTTCACGGTCGTGCTGACAGCCGCTGATAGCGCATTCCGCGAGCTAAGGTCAGCCTTCGGTAGTGTTGTGGGTATAGGCTTGTTGATGTCTCCATTGAAACCAAAAGTGCCATCAGCGCTGGCAGCGGCTGGCAGCGTGCCGTGAAACACCGCCCAGGTCAGGTCACAGACCCAAAGACGGGAAAATCAGGACCTGTCAGAACCTCCTAAAGTAAGGCTGTAATACGTTTTTTTTTGTGCTGATCACAAATTTCATGTTAGTTTGGATCATAGATGATGTCTTCATGCGTTTAGGTCATGTCGGGGCAGGTCACGTCAGGTCAACCAGTAGGGGTACTTATGGGCGTCCGTATAGCAGGTGTCCACTACCACTGGCAGCTACGTAACATGATACGAAGGCATCAAAACTACTTCGTAAATGTTCAAATGGCTGCAAAATGCTAAATTCAAAATCAGCTAAACGAAACTATCCTAGAAACATGTTAAACTCGGAAAAGTGCACCGAGGTCATCAAAGGTCAATGACCTGACTTGACCGTAAGGTGACATTGGCATCCGCCCTAATGCGTGGGAGCAACATCATATCACATGTTTGAGCGTTTTAAACCACGAAAAGACTATAAAAGCGCGGATAATGTGAGCCGACATACGCCGAATCGCTATAAACATGGCCTCCAACATGGCCAAACAGTCTCGAGAAATAGGCCACAAGTCAAAGTTCACTTGGGTCAGGGTCATGAAATTTTCAGACTTTGTCACCATGAGGGTACTAAAGTTTCGTCGCGATCGGCTTCATGATACCTTACACGATAACTTCACACGTCGATCGAGAGTTAAAGCATGGATGAAGGAGAACCAGGGGATGAAGGTTCTTTCATCCATGGTTAAAGTGTGCAATAAGAACTTCTTGGGTGAAGACAAGACCAACACTTTTATCAAGCTCACATATTTTTAATGATACGGTATTTTCTCTCTACCTACTACGCCCTTCTCACATTCATTTTTCTTAAGTGTTTTTGGGGACAAAAAATATATGTTGTTCCCCTTTCAGGCTTGGGGGCATGACCCCGTGGCCCCCCTGGATTCGCTAGGCCGAAACTAACTAGGTCGTTTTCAAACGGTCTGATATTTCAGGTCATAGTTTGCAAACGGCCGGTGTTTTCAGGTAGTTTCATATGGCCTGACTGGGCCAGGCCGTTTGCAAACGGACCGAATTTTCATACGGCCTGTAACATATATTCAGATTTCGACATCTGTCGTAGCATCAAATGCTGATGTGGCGCACTCAAAAGCCGGAATTGGTCCTTGGATGCCGTAAGGACCCTTATAAGAAATAAGTGACCCGACTGACCCTTAGAGATTGGCCTGAGCTGTGACCGAAATAAGTCTTTTACCGTTTCGCAGGAAGGGACAAAAAGGTCCCTCATATGCTTCTTGTACAATTATACGAAACAAAACAAGTTTTTTTTTCAACGAAAACTCAGTGAGTTTTCCTAAAAAATTTATTGCGCATATTCCGTGAATGAAAAGTTGCCGGGTCATGTCAGGTCAGGCTGCCACAGCAAGTTTGTTAACTTGACAGCTCAATCGATATTTATGCAATAAGACCTTCTCGGGTG